GCTGGGACCAAGAGTTGGTCAACCCAGGGATAGAGTAACTGAGAGTTGAAAGCAATCTGGGATATAAACTAGAGATCCAAGACCAGCACAGTGGATGTCTCACCACAGAGGGGATTTGATACCAGTCTGACCAGTCAACCATTAGACAAGGCAGCTAAAACATAAAGGCAGACCGCAGAAAACTGAGGGGGTCATTAGGCTTTAGAAAAGCTCCTGCTGTGTTGCCCGGGACTTGATCCCCTTTATAAGCCCTGAGACACTGCTGGCAAAACTGTTTGCAGGTAGGGTGGATTTCCCCCTTAACTGTTTTTTTGTGGCATTGGGGGGAAGGAAGAGTTCTAGGAACACTTTAGCAAAATGATGAAGTCTGTGGACTCTTTCTCTAAAAAACTTTTCCAATGCAGCATTAAATAATAAAAGACTCAGGATTACAAAGGAAACATTGCACATTGTATTACAAAATAGTTATCAAAGTATTGAGCACAGTTGATATGGTTGTACGCTTTTCTGGGGAGGGGGGCGTAGTGGGGATTGAACCCAGAGCCTTTGCATTGAGCTACATTCCCCAGATGTTTTCAGTTTTTATTTTGTTACCGGGCCTCCCTAAATCACTAAATTGCCAATGTTGGACTCCTTCTGCCTCCCCAGCTCAGCATGCTTCCCTACACCCAGGTATGTGTGTGTGTCTTTTTAAGCATGAGATATAAAAGTCTAGTGGTAGATCAGATAGCCACCATGATTTTGAAGTATAATAGGAAAAAGTAAATTTTTAAGATACTATTTCTCTAACAATATGAAAATACCTATGATTTCTATTGGTAACAAAGTTATTATCTTGGTTACTTTTCCTCATTGCTTAGACAAAATACCTGACACCCAAAGTCAAAGAAGGGGAGATTTATTTAGCTCACAGTTTGTAGAGGTTTCAGTCTAGCCAGCTGGCTCCAACCTGTGGCAGCATAGCAGACAGGCATTGCAGAGAAGAAACAGCTCGTTGAGGGCAGAGGTAGCAAAGCAAGCAAACAACAATGCAACTTCTTTTTATTCCTTATATTTTAGCTAGGCTACCCACCTTCCACCCTTAGGGCAGGTAGCACTCACATCCAGAACTATGCTAAGCCAATCAGTGGACTGATTTAGTAATCACACACCTTTGACACCAGTGTCACACACTCTAGATCCAGCTACCTCTGAAAACGGCCCACTTGTGACTGCACAAGTCTTTGGGGAACATCTAGACACAGCCGTAACAATTAAGTTGTTATTACAGTGGCTTATTGCATTCATAATTGAAGGAATTTGTGCATTTTGGCTAGCATTTAGTGAAAATATAAGACTTTATTTCCTCATTTAAGTACATGAACTCTTTAAATTTAGTCTATAAGCCTCTTTAGATTGGAGCATGGTGAGATCTAGGAGCCCCAGTCAGGAAATCGTGATATCTAATGTATCCAAATCATAGAAAAAGTATGGAAGAGCCAAGCACATTGAAAGGAGAACATGACGCATGAAGCAGCAATCACAACGCCCCATAACCAAGAATGAGGCAGCTCATTCCAGAGAAGAGTTTTAAACTTCACAAGGTGGACGGTAGCTGAAGACTAGCTAATAGCTACTGGAAACGGAAAATAGAGAATAGCTAATAGCTGAAGGAAGGTGCCGGTCCATCTGGGCCCAGATGTTCAGTCCATATCTGTGTGCTTCCCCCAGCTCAGCCTGTCACAGCTGGACAGTCATTTATGACAGAGGTGACCAGGCTTAAAGAACATGCTGGTCCGACAGGGGCTTTTTTCAGGAGTTTGCAGCTGGAAACTTGAAGACTAAAGCAGTTGGGAGGAGTGGCATAACAGGAAATGCCGTGAGGGGTGAGCTGGGGTCTTCACACCACGCTACCTCCGTGGCCTTTCTCATTTTTATTTGGGTCCGGCCTCAGCCTCCTACAGTGCTGTGATTACAGGTATGTCTCACCACGCCTAGCTGCCCTATTCTTACCTGCACTTAAAGCAGAACTGTCCAGCTGGAGAAGGAGTTCAGTTTTTAAGGAACTGTATGGTCACCACATCATGCCTGTCCCAGTCCTGCCCTGCTTCAAGTGTTTGCTCCTCCTAAAGCAGAGTTGACACTGCAGCTGGTAGTGAGCGGCAGGTTTGTGGGAAGGTGGGGAAGTCAGGGAGGCTAGGAAGGGGTCCTGGAGACAGCCAAGGGATTAGACCTCAGATAGATTCCTCTACTTGCCAGCCTCGTCTGCCTTATTAGAGGGAGGCTTTGTGGAGACGATGTACGTTGTTTTCTCCAGACAGTTCCTGACACAAAGGGCTTATTAAATAATGGCTTTTAGGGGCTGGGGATTTAGCTCAGCGGCATAGCACCTGCCTGGCAAGCACAAGGTTGTGAGTTCAATTCCTGGTACCGGAAAAAAAAAAAAAAGAGTAAATAATGGCTTTTATTTTGTTTTAAGCAGTCTTCCTGTGTTGCCAGACTGGTCTTGAACTCATGGCCTCAAATGATTCTCCCACCTCAGCCCCAAACAGCTGGGATGACCTGTGTGCTCTACCACACCCAGCTCGATAGCTGTTATTTATCACACAGAATAAATCAAAAAACAGCCTGTGCTTGTTTAAAGCATATAAATCCTATAAATATTGGTCTCATGTCTGCGCTTTTAGCTTCCTAAGTAACAAGAATCTGGTTTATTCAAGCCTCTTTGTACAGTGCCGGGTTCAATTAAATTACTTAACAAAATCTCCTCGATGTTAATGAAGTTTGGAGGCCATACTTAAAGGAATGTTGGTGCAAGGAGGCAGCATATTAAATAATGCAGCT